AGGCTTCCCTTTCGGGTTCCGCCTAGTGTTCCTTTGAAGGTTCTTTAAGGGCTTTCGGGGTTTCTTCAACAGCTTCCTTTGAGGGCGTTGCCAGGGCTGAGCAGGGGAGCCCTTCGTAGTTAGAGCAGAACCGAGGGTTCTCTGTTGATTTTATAGGGTAGTTCTCTAGATTAGCACCCCTCGTTGTAAAGAAGGGCCCTGAAAGGGACACTAATCTAGAGAACTCATATGAGGATCCAAAACTCTCAGTCTTCTCAAAGCCTTGAGGTGAGGGGTTTAAGGCTTCAAGGACATGTGCCTGGATCTTAAGAATAGTTTGGGGGTTGAGGGGTACATGTTCTGTTTGGAGCTATTGGGGGGTTCCACCTTGCATGGCTTCCGGCTCTAGGGCGTGAGGCCTGGGACTTTTCAGGTTTAGGGTTCGGGAATTCGGTGTTTGGCTGTGATGTCAGGATTTAGGAATGTAGGGTTACGTAAAAACCCAAAAAAGTCTAGAGTCCTCATATGAAACCATCCGAAACCTGTCAAACCGTCTGATAAAACTCCCATTGCGGCACGCTGCAGAAAACGTGAGCCCCGCAGAAATTCCTGGGCCTAGCTCGGTATGTTCAGGGTTCAGGGCTGGGTTCAGGGTTTAGGGTTTGGGGTGTATGGCTTGAGGTCTAGGGTCTCGGCGAGGTTTAGGGTCGGTTTAAGGTCTCGGCTGCAGGGTCGGAGGTTGGGGTGTAAGCCGATACGTCCCGTCCCATATCACCATATCGTCTTACTTTGCGGCATGGCTAGGGATGGCTGTCAGGTTCAAGTTTCAGGTTTAGGGTCTACCCAGTCTACCCTGAACTGTGCAAGGCGTAGGCTAGGAAGACAGGGCGCATGCTCTTCATCTCATTCCGAAGCTGGTCTGGGTAGCCGTTGGCCGAGCCGCCAAGAAAGCCATCCACCTGCAACGGTTCAAAGTTCTAGGGCTTAGGGGCTTTGATGTCGGGTTTAGAAACTCGAAACCCGGAACCGCGGGGTTTAGGATCTCAGGGCTCTACGTACAGCAAGCTTGTATGCCCTGAGCCCCAACCCTTAAAGCCCTAACCCTAACCCCTCTTGGCTGCAGGCTTGCACGCCTAAACCCGTAACCCTAGACCCCTAAACCCCTCAACCCTTAACCTTGACCTTAAACCGTTACATCTGACCCCTTAAACCCAAAATGCTTTCAGATGTGGCGCGATGAACTCAAAGCATTCCAGACAAGGAAGCTCTGGGAAAGGTCTGTTCTAGCACTCGCCAACTTCAAGACCCCTTAAATCCTTCATACGATTCAAGGTACCTTCCTCAACTCGAGACGTGGCACTGGCACAATGCAACACAGGCCTTGCAAAGGGAGGGCTTCTCGAAATCAAGACCCTTGGGCAGACTCAACTAAAGACCTTGCAAGAATCCAACCTCAACACACCAACCCCAAAATCAAAGCAAATGAAAACTTATAAACCAGAAAAATATCAAAGTAGAAAAGTCGGAAACCCTATATAACCTGAAGATCTCGACCTCAATAATTAAGACAGTAGACATCCCAAACCAGTACTTAGAGTTTGGGAAACTCCTTACAAACGGATAAACCCCAAAAGCCTGCGAGTAGCCGTACTGGTCCAGCTGGCGCATGATGGCCTGCATGTTGCTAAGGACGACATAGGACACGCGAGCGCCCAGCTGGGAGGACTCCACGTCCTGTCATGCAACGTTTGAGGGTTTAGGGCTTAGGATACCCCGAAGAACCAACCCGAAGTCGAAGGTCTCAACACTTGGGTTTCGCCAAAGGCCAGTGAAGACGTCCGTTCAAGATTCCCAACACGTTCCGGAAGGCTCAGGGTCTGCGGCGCTATGGGTCCGTGAAGGATGAGCCGAGGGTCCCCCCAGGTCTGATGTTTAGGGTTCAAGGTTTTTCCTCCTACTTCGCGAGGTATGTGGTTTAGGTTCATGTAGGTTCGGAGGCTGGCTTTAGGGTTTAGGGGTTAGCAAGTGGTGCCGTCAAAACCCCCAGCCTCACGCCTAAAACCCAAAGTCCTAAAGCACGCGACTAGAAGTCCCCCAAGCCCGAACCCGGAAACCCTGAACAGATGGAAGCGGGATTTCCCGTCGAGTTTAGACTTCTAGACTGGGGCACTAACATGACTAGCTTCCACAAAAACACGACCAAAGCCCCTAAATCCCCAAACCCCTGAGCCATACGTCACAAAGCCTACTTGCGAGAGACCTAAACCGTGGAGATTAAAGGCTGGATCTACATGTCTCGAAGGAAATCTCCACCATGAGTCCTTCTTCTTACAGCCTCACAAGCGAATCCCGTAAGACCCTCCAGCAACAAAGCTACGGGTGTATTACCATCAGACCTGGTATCGAACTTGGCATTGGACCCATGATTAACCCATAAGTAACCCTAGTGCTAGACCCATCAAACCCGCGATCCACCCTTTTTTGACCGAGTAGGAAAAACCTGCTATGAAGTTATGAAGGACTGCGGTTCAACCCGCAAGCTGAAACCACCCCCGAACCCCAAAAACCCCAACCCCTCAACCTTCTAAACCCTAATAAACCTCAATCACCCGAACAATCGTTAATATCAATCCGAAGAAATCATAGGCCCTAGTAAGTCCTATTCAACCCTCAACCCTGTCCTTCTTCTGCTCTTCTGCTTCGGGGGCTGGGCCGAAGGCTGCGGCACGCGCGCTGCGGCCGCGGCGCCTTGAGGCGGCGAGGCAGGCTACCGCGGCACCTGGGATGCCCATGGGTTTCCATATTAGGGAGGCTTTCAAAGAAGTGTAGAGTTTAAGGCAGGATGTAGGGGTCACAGATACACCAAAACCCTCTTCCCATTTACAAGGCCCCTATGTTAGGCTTTTGTGGAAACAGATGTTACACCGTTCACACTCGTATGTTCGAGCGGGAATCCCAAACAATCCTTGTCCCGTTTATTCAATCCTTTACACTATATACGCCCCTAGAAAACCCTTGAAAATCTCAGTGGAGCAGTTGTAAGAAAACAAAAAAATGCTTCTGAAACCTTTCTGGTACCCCGTCAGAACCATAAACCCCTAAATGCTGGACTTTGAGTCTCAAGGCTCTGTGGGGTCTCGTGGGCTGTTTCCGGAGCTGTTTCCAAGGGTTGCAGGAATACAGTCCCTAGACTTGACGAATGCCCTTACCTACCTCAACTTAGGGTACCTCGCACCCACTTCATATATATATATATATATATACACACACATATATAGTCATAATGATAACAATGATAATTACGATAATAATAATAATAATAACACCAATAATCATAATGATGGGCTCAAGCTGCCTCCCAAGCTGCACGAAACACCAAGGCCGGTCGCGCCCGATTTTTGGGGTGCCGCGGGTGTGCGGCGGGGCGCAGGGCGCGGAGGCACTCGGGGAGCCGCCTGTAGTCAGGGGTTGGGACGTCAGATTTCGGACTTTGAGATTAGCATCTATATAGTTCAAACGGCTGTTGCTGAGGGGCAGTGTCAAGGGGTCTCGGGTTTTCAATGCGCTTTAGGATATTTCGCCTCCATGCTGGGGCTGCCTATGCCCTAAACAGGGCTGAAAGTGAACGACTGTCATTCTGAAGCTTGTGGTTCGTAGCTTTTCACATATTGCATGCGTGGCACGGTTTGTCCAAATCTCTACACCGTGTAGGGTCTCAGGAGTTTGGATCTGAAGGCCAGGGTTCCGAGAGTTGCTCGGGATTGCGAACACCGGATCCCTCAAGTATGAGCTGGGGAACGATGTGTTGCGCGAAGGTTTAAGCACTTATGTACTTGCCGTGCTTCTGCTACTCACTCTGCCTACCTATGAAGCTCTCCAGGATCGCGCGAAGCCGTGGAAGACTCTGCGGATGCAAGTTCCCAGTCCCCAAAACCTAATACATACACAGATATGTGTGTGTATATATATATATACACATTTATATATATATATATATACACACATATATATATATATATATATGCACCTACCAACATCTCGAAAGAGTCCTACATACACTACATAAACACAAACTCTAATATAAAGCCTACTTCTTACGAAGCCCTCAACACGGAGAAAGGCGTAACCCCCAAGCTGGAAACCCTCTGCCCTGGAGCAGCCTGCAGTTGCACAAAACTCTGTGCCGTCTCCATCGCGCTGGGGGCGGCTTAGGCTTTGCGCCCCGGAGGACGACACTTGGCCGCGCACTTGGGCCCAGAGGGCAGCGGCTGCGGGGCTCTGCTGTTCTGGCTGCTGCTTTCAACAAGTACCATGATTTCCCATAGTATGCTACTGCATACCAAAGCATAATATAATATACTAAAGCATACCATAATTGACCATGATATAATGGCGCCTAACATAATGTGACGTAAGGAACTACAATGTACCATGACGAACAACATTATCCTGTGATGTAGTATAAACAGAATATTAACACTAATATACTGTAATCGGCAGTGGGTATCGCAGCTCACACTCGGACAATCCGCAGTGACATTAAGGGTCCTCGTTTATGGTCTCGAGTCTGGTGTCCGTCTTAAAACAAATTGATTCGTTTTTGATCTGGGGAACTGGGTTTAAGCATGCACCTTTTTTGGGGGGCGGGCTCTTTTCCAACTGGTTAGCAGGAATGCCTTACCAGGCTGAGCCTGTGGTTGGGGCCTCTGCAAAGGAGTGCACGTTAGGGTTCAGGGCTTCGGGTTTGGGGTTTGGGCCAAGGGGTTTCAGGCTAGGGCTAGGGTTTGGGACATAGCATTCTCCAAAGCAGTGGATCAACTCTTCCAGGACGTTACACCATCCTCGGCGATCTCTTCTCCAGCAGGCCTCAAGTGTAGGTTCTAGTTAATTCTACGAAGAACTACTGAGTATTTAGGAACTACAGGGGAACACTATTGATACTTATTCCGACCCCTGTATTAGTTGCCTTGCATCCTAGGAAGACTTAGTTTCTTGAGTTTACGGTTCCGTAGCCAAGTCACAAGGAAGCCGGCGGCATGCTGTCCCAGTTGCATGAGATCCTTCCTCACGGTTTGGATGTTCTGCTTCAGGGTTCTTCTTTTGGGGTTAAGGGTTTGTGGTTAAAGGTTTAGCAAGCGGGTTAGCTAACAGGGACGACTTTAGACTGTATTACATGTGCTCTTGGGTCAGGGCTTCTTGGAGTTCACTTCGGCTTTGCAGGAAAACGTGGCAGGCACGACATTTTCCATACATTTCCAGAGCTAGCTGATGAACATTCTGCCCTTTTTGTACTTGCTTGTCAACACTGAATCGACGCAGAAACGCGTGCTTTCAGCGTCTATTTGACGTGTCTTTCGTGTAAATGTCCTACGCTTTTGCAAGCAAAGGCATGTCAAATAGCCTGCAAGTGTCCATCACACGGGGGGGGGCGGGGGGTGGGGTGGGGGGGATGATGATGTACATATCGGGCTTGTCAGCGACCGCCTCTGGCCAAGCGGTTCTCGAGTGAGAAGCATGTTTTATATTGCTTTTGAGGGTTCCTTACTATAGCCAAGGTATAATAGACACCAAACCATTTTTCTAATTGTTAAGGCCACTGCATTACAACTCTGCATTGATAACAAAGAATCCCGAACTCCAAAGCCTTGCTGAAGCACCTTTGACTATTAAGTCCATGGCCATACATAGCTGATGCGTCACCACTCTTGATGGCATAGCATAACACAACATAGCATAAACATGAATGACTCCAAGACTCCAGGATCAATCCGAAAACCTCAACATAACTTTCTGAAACCTTTTTTTCCACTCAACCAGAAACACGAAATCCCGAGAACACCCAATCGAAACCACCCCTGTTTGTGAACCCGCTGGGGAGGCTTAGGGCCTAGGGTTGGGTTTAGGGTTTACAGTTTCGGGGCTCAGGGATTCGGGCCTCGGGTTCTAACGAAAGTGGGCAAATTATTTCGGATTTGGGGTTCAGGCACGTGGGCATGGCCCAACGAGAAGCCATCTCGAAGCCGACATCCAGAAGTCTACCTCAAACCAAAAGCCCTGAAATCAAGTGAATCAGTCTCACTTGCCTAAACCTCGCAGCTCTGAAGGAAACAGAGAAGGATCCTACATTGCGGCCCGTCCCTCTTCCCCAACGCTTCAAATACAACCTCGCCTGATTGCTGAGCCTTCTTCCTTAAGCAAGCTCAGCGTCGAGATGTCCAGACGTGACAACTTGTTGTGCAGAAATGTCGACGGCCTCAGCCCCCATGGCTTTGGGCCTTTACCTCCCGGAGGCTCTAGCGCTGCGGGGCTCTTGTCAGTGCCCCCCTGGGCTTTTAAGGTGCCAGGCTTCCGGGCAAAAGGACTTTCGGGCGTTGGGGTCCAAATATGCCCAAGAATTTAGTGGTGCTTTTCCGAAATGCTGACAGCACCTGCTTAGCATCCAAAACACCGGAGAAGCCAGCTTGAAAACGGCGCACCGCAAGCGCGGCTGACACCTCCCTCAACCCTGAAGCCTGAAACCCCCCAAGCCCTCAACCTTTAAACCCGAAACCGTTACACCCCAACCCCACAACCCCACGGCCCTTCGCACAACCCAAGAGGTCGGGTGACGTTTCGAGGAGAGCGTAAGCCAAAGCCGCCGCCACGCCGAGCATCTGGCTGGGGAGCTCGTTGGGCTCTTAGGGTTAGGGTTTAGGGTTAAATGTGGGACCTTTGCGCTATGACAGAAGTACATACGGTATACCCTATGCACAAGTATAAGAAGAACCTTCGTACCCTGCGGAAAACTCATCGACTTCACACTGAACCAAGCTTAGTTCTTGGCAAATTCAATTGCTTCCGCCTGTTCTCTTACATCCTTCTCTTCCTCTTCGGATTGTGCTCATGAGGCTTTTCTTCCGGGAGAAGAAAGCCTGTCTTCTTGACGTGGGCTTGTGCTCCTTCGTGCGTTTCTGGCTTTTTGCTCATGGACGTCAAGAGACTTCGACACTGCTGGGAACGAAGCCCGGCACCTCAGGGATGAGGATCCATAAATCCAAGTCTGTAAGCAGTAAGCATAAACATTAAGGGACACTAACCACAACCGTGATAATGATTTTGCACGCGAATTACGAGCCGATCCCTAAACCGCCTAAACTAAACCCTAAACTCTAAACCCTAAACCGAGAATAAAACCCTAAACCCTAAACCGTAGACTAGGGGTGTGTGTGAAAGCGATTGGCTTCGCACCTTTCGTGCCCCCGCGGCACGCCAGAGCTCCTCTCCTGCTCTCAGATCTCCACGCTTGATAGGAACCCTTCAAGGAACTCTTAAGGGACCCCCTCAAGGAAAGGCACCCTTCGAGGTCGAAGGCTTGTCGAGTTTTAGGGCTAAGGGTTCTATTTTTTAGGGGTATAGGGTGCAAGGTTTAAGGCGTAGGCTATAATACCCTGAACCAAATTCATTCGGTTGCATAGCGCCTTGGGGCCTGCACAAGGTGAGGGGTTGCGTTTTCTGCAGAACGAAAAGATGGAACCAAAATACGCTTGCGGATGAATGCCTTCTGGCTTTACGGCCATAGCGCCTAACCCTAAGGCTCTACGACTCTATACGGACTCATCTTTTGGCGCACTTGGGCCCGAGCTGGGCCATGGTACATTTTTCTGTTGCATGGGATCTTCTGATCAGACTCTACTCGGGGATGGACACACAAGGTTCAAGATGAGGCAACTGCAGATAAAATTCTTCGAGTCCTTATCCAAGCACTTGTTCCAACACGAGCCCTTGAAACCCCAAATCACTCTTGAGCCCGATAACGATACCAAACAACAACTCGAACATTGACCCTCCGCCGCCCTTCCTGCGCCGGCACCCGGATCCCTACATAGATCCTGCAAGGCTTCCAGCAATCCCTGAAACTTAAAACCCTTCACCCTATCAACTCCTAGAGCCCTGTCCTTGGCACAGGGCGGCCAACAAAGCCATCGCCAAGGCAAGATAGCGAAGATGCCCCTGCGGCTGCCCTGGCGGTTTAGGGCTTCATGCTGGGGTTTCAATCAGAGTGGGGCTGAGGCCTACCCATTGTGTTCTTTGTGCTCGTGGGTGGTAGCCCGTACTGGTCTTTTGGCTAGATTCTTCTGGGAGGGCCCGGGGGGGGGGGGGGGGGGCAGGTACAGCCCTGGGGTCTAGGAGATTGGGGCGTCGGACCGAGGGTTTCGGGTTTTGGTTTTTGGGCTCTGGGGATTCGGGCTTGAGTTTGAGCAGGGTTTGGTGTTACTCGGCATTCCAGCTGAGACTTTGGAACCCGTACGGTTTACATGTTTAGTCGCAGCTCCCCAACAGATCTCTACGTAGCCTTGCGTGGGGTGCGGAAGTGTCAGAGAAGGGGGAACCCTCACATCGACGCTAAATTGTCGGATCCCTAATGCAGGCGCCTCCGGAGGACCCCTCAATATTCAACAACACCGTGCATGTTGCTAAGCAATTCGACCACCCGGTCTTCTGAAGCACAGGTCCCTAATTTAGGTGTCCCGAGTAAGGCTCAGGGTGCTTCAGGGCTCTGCTACGGTATGCATCCTCCATCGAACTTGATGGAACCCTAAACCCTAAACATCCCTGAACCCTACATGCGACTGTTGGTAAACGTGCTGTAAACAACTGCGTTGAAGGTTTGGTGTCGGCGGCATCATATAGAGTACCCCGCTTCCTGAGCTCAGATATACGTGACAACACGGGTAATAAAGAACGAAATTGCCCTTTCCCGGCATTCACACCCGCTATCCAGGCTCCTGTGTGCATCAAATGTGCGCTATAGAAGGAAAACAGTTCAAGTTGCTAGAACAAGCAAAGCATGCAGTTCATGTTACATCCTTTCTTGCTGCATCAAGCTTCTTGGGTTCAAGACCGAGCTGGAGCTGCTTTGGTTCATCTACGTGCCCCATAAACCAACAAACCCACGCGAAAAGGCCGGGAGGACAGCTAAACACCTCTTGAAGCCCTTGTTTCGTATCAAAATTTCCCCTAGAACCCAGCACCGTGCCCCTTTGAAGCCCAGAACAAGCTAGGATACAAGCCTATTACAATGCAAAAATCATCCGGAAGAAGACCGTGGCCTGGTCTCTCCCGCCAGGGCAGGAGACGCTCTATGGAAACCTGGGGGAAGTTTAGGATCAGAGCCTCCTACCTCTCAACGCGAAGTCCACATAGCAGGGCGGCTAGCTCATTGGACAAAGACACTGGGGTTAGGGTTGAGGGTTTAGGACAGTGTCAGGGTGTTTTCGGCTTTTGGGCTTTAGGGCGTCACGGTCCCCGGCTGTGGGGCTTAGGGTATGTGCACAGCTGCCAAGGCCGTTGGAGAAAGTACGAGTTGTGACAAGGCCTAGGGGACTTCAAGGTTTAGGGAAAAGGGCTTGGGCTTGCGCTTGTTTGCAAGTTTGACCAGCTTTCCCCCGTGCTGTCCTGCCCGGCTCGCCTACCCTACGAAACCTAAACCCTAAAGTGCAAAAAATTAGGAAGGTAAAACAGTGTGCTTGAAACAGCCGCCCCATCTGGGCCTGATGCCTTTAATATCAAGGCGCTTGGTATTGGGGGCTTGCGGTCTAAGGTTTAAGGCCTGGGCTTGGTAAGCCTATCTCTTGATACTACTCTGTTCCAATGTCTAGTTTCAGCTTGGCTGGCAAAACACGTATGCGAACCCTCCTGGCAACCCTTGTAGAACCCATGCAGAAACCTATAGCAGTCCCCCTCAACTCATCCGAATCCACCAATGCTGCTGGCCTCAAAACGGAGCACAGCAGATCTCTGTTGGGGATTCGGGCTTTTCAGGTTTAGGAGCTGGGGTTGAGTCAGTATTCAGGGTCTGTCTCTGGCACATGGTGGTTTCCGACGACAACAACCACCACCACAACAAACACAACTACAACTACTGCCACAACAACTACAACTGCACGACTACAACTGCCTGGGTTTCATGAGGCCTTCGTGTTTGAGCCCAGGGGCCTCAAAGGCCGTCAGCAGGACGAAGGAGAGAGGGTCCAAGTAGCCTCGGCTCTGGCTGCAGATTTTGGGGTGTTTAAGGTTTAGGGTCTAGGGTAATCTCCGAACACTCTTTTCTCCTAACACTCTCGAAGCCAAGGTTCTTAATGAGTTGAATAAGGTTTTTCTGGGCACGTTATAGCGTGACGAAACGACTACTTCCTGATTGTCCAGACGACTACATCAAGCCCCTCATGTCATACCTTCCCATTGTATTCGCCGCATGCAATCTAAGGAGTGCCGCCAACCCCATCAAACCAAGCTTTAACGGAAACAGCCTTCAACGCCACAACAAACCTCAAGCACAACACTTGCCACAGCCCCATGACACCGTATATTGTAGCATGGTCTCCCTGACACCCTGCACCCCAAGCCTTAGAGACGAGACGCCACACTCTGAAGCTACATCCCGATTCAAGAACCCCAAACGTAAACCCTGAACCCACCAACACCCAGGCGTCCCTCTTCTACCCCATAACCCTGAGCCGTAACTCGAATGCTAGAAACCCCTACAGCCGATGTGCTGAGGCTGACGAAGGAGAGCCAAACGCGCACAGAATGAACTGCTCCTGCTCGGAAAAAAAAGAGGTTTGGGGCCCCTCTTGATAGAGCTCCACAGAACTCGGGTTCAGGGTTTAGTGGTTCTACGCGCCTAGTCAAAGTCCATAGAGGGTCTTAGAGGGTTTTGCAGGTCTTGAGGGTCGTAAAGCACGGGATTCGAGGTTTTGGGCTTTGGGCTTCTTTGGGCTGCAGGTTCCATCCTGCTTAAGAAACACTCTTCTCAAAGCTTGGTTCCCGGGAAAGCCGGTTTCCTGCCGCCACGGTCAGCTGCCACACCGGAACTCCTGCTGGCCGGCTGTACCTGTGAATTTATTGCGATTCTTTGCGTCTTGGGGTTCGGGGCTGACGGGTTCGGAGGGCTCAAAGTGCGGAGGGCTTGGCGTCCTCATCAGGGGATGACAGGTTTGGAGGAGGGCACCGGGTTCACTGACAGTGGGTCGGTAGGGCGCACGGGTTTCGGATTCACGGGTTGCGTGGTTTAGACGTGGGTGGAGGCCATGACTGCCGACAGCTGCAAAAAAAACCTTAGACCCCGAGCCTCTAAGACATAAACTGGTGTATTACGGCAAGCTCAGCGCCCTTCATGGCACAAACCTGAGCGACATTGTTAGCAAGCACCCTATCAAGTGTCGATTCCCAGAACCTTAGCGACATTTCCGTCTTGAGCTAGGAGACTAAACCCTGTTCAAACCTTACAGACCCTGAACCCTGAATCTTTTCAATATCGAATTCCAGCCGTAGAAACCCAAACCTTGAGACTGTAGGGCCTAGGGCTTCACCGAAAACACAAAGCAAACTCGCCCCTCAACTCCGCCTCAGCCCGGAACCCGAAACCCTGGAGACCCTTACAGCAAACCCTAAGAAGCTTTCCGACGGGCCCAAGCCTAGACCCTCAAAAACAACGGGCAAGAGCGGTGCACAAGGGCACCAAGTCTGCCTGAAGCTCTTGGCGCCGCCAACGGCACGGATTGCCGGGAGGAGGCCTTCCGTCCACCCAGCAGCAATTTTGGGCTCTGGGGCCTAGCATGGTGAGGGGTGGTTTATGGGGGCTGCATCAGCACCATGTTTCTTAAGGGTTCTGTAACTAGGTTTAAGTTTTTGGAGTGTAGGGTTCCCTAGGGTTTTGGAAGAGGAGGGCTATGCGGGTTCAACTCCGGCACAAAAACAAACAGGTTGACCGAGAGCCGTGCGGATATCACAGCAGTGAAGCTGAGAGCAGGGCGCAGGGAAGCAGTTGACCGCAGAACGCGGGAATAGAATCAGCATCCAGGGCTTAACCTTAAACACCAAACCCTTAACCCTAAACCCTACACCCTAAACCTTAAAGACCCTAAACCCTAAACCCCAAACCCGTACACCCCAGGGCTCACTGCAAGCAATTCTAAACATGATGCTGATCGTACGTTCAGAAGAGACACACTCCTAGCAAAAGAGAGTGCCTCAAACCACGAAGAAGCAGTCGTTGCAGTAACTGTGCTAAACTCCAAGGGTCCTAGAACACCCTGAGAATTCCTGCATGGAGGCCCTTGAAACCCCTGTTCAGCCCTTGAAGAAAACCCTAATAAAACCCGTTCCGACGCCACCGACGCCTGCAGACGTGCAGCACTGTAGCAAGGCCACGGCCTTCGCTGCTGGCTCTTGCTTTCTGTGGGGCCTTTCTGTAAAGCTTCGGGCCTCAAGATGACTCTAAAAGAACTCTACTGTATGAGCCTTAATAATTAGAATAGGGTTTTGGGGCGCATTATATTAATCCCTTCATCCGTCTAATGAATGCCCCCTAAATATAAAGAGTTCCCGAGCCAAATGTTCAAATATCAATGGTTTAAAGGCATGTTTGATTGGGGGTCAGGTAGGATCGGCCATCACGGATTTGGAACTACCAGGCTAGGGTCGCATGGAGAATTTGGAAAGTCGGCATTTGGAGGAGTCGGAACGCGGCGTCCGAGGGAGGTTCGAGGGAGTCCGGATGTGGGAATTTCAGGGTTTAGCGCTCTAGAATTTGGAATTCCTAGGCTGGAGTCGCATTTGGAATTGAAACGGCCGGCATGGAGGATTGGATTATTCGCAGGCTGGGACCATTGCAAACAACAGAATTTTTGATAATATTGGGATTATTTTGGACTGGGTGCGCATCGAACCCTGCCTGCGGGAAAGCAACTGGATGCGGATTGGTATTTGCTAGGCAATTACTCGTCCTAGCCTGGGGACTTCTTAAGGTGTTTTTATCATACATGCTTCAGTACTGTCTCGATCCGGACCTCCCAGGCTAGGCGAATGAAAACACCTAAACAGTCGCGCATGGCGTTTTCGGAACTCCCAGGCTAGGGCGAGTAATTGCTGTCTCGAAACCGGGTCTCCCAGGCTGGTGCGTAGCGGCCCTGTCCCATGCTTTTTGTTAGACGCGCACCCTTGCCTGGGAGAAGAAAATTCTAGACTCGAATTTCCGAAGTCAAGCCTGAAACCACCCGAAATCACCCTTAATGTTCAAAATTCAACCCCAAATGATTCTTTATATGGGTGGTATCCGATATTCTTTCTCCCAGAAACAGCCCCTCCCGCGCCGCTTTCGCGTAGCTTCCGCGCTCTTTCGCGCACGAGGAAAAACGCAACAAACAAGAACACCTCAACATAACTCGGGCGCAGAAGCATCTCTGAAAGCTGCAGAGAAACTCTTAGAATTAATTCTTAAATGTTCCCCGAGGGTCCTTACATCCGATAGGAGCTGTGCAAGGAGTGCAGATTTAGGAGGATCCTGCTTACAAGCCATACAGCTCTCTCACTCAAAGGGTTCTTTTCGCTGGCTGTCACAAGGAGAAAACTAATATTTAGGGAGGGTCTCTTCACCAGGCTCCGCCTCGCCGCTCCCTTCTGCCCTGCCTGGTCATGCACAGTTCCAAAACCACCATTTTGAGCTTCCCGCGGCTTCAAAAAGCGCTTTTTTCGTGGTTTTGGAACTGCCCTTGCACCGAAACATGCATGCCCTCACTAGTTAGGCAATTCCCTTTCACATCTCTTCCGCGTTCGCATGCCTTTCGCGCGCGAAGGTTTTGCATACTTTCATATAGCCGATTTAGCGGTTTTAGGACAGCCCCCATATGTGGGGATGATAGGTTATTAGACGGATGAGGGGATTATAAACATGATAAGGGATCCCCAAAGTAGCATAGGTATTGTCAAAGTCGCTATATTAGACTCCTACACCGTGTGGACGACCTGGCAGCCATCAGTTTCTCTTACGAGGAGGCAGAGTGCTTGAGTTTCGTACCAGGGCTCACTTTCGGCTTGTTTCTGCTGAAAGGAAAGAAACTGCAGTCCTGCTCCGGTTGGTCTTGCAATTGTTCAGAGATCAAAATGCTGGCGGCGCTTCTCGTCGTTCTGAGCTACTTTTCTTGTCACCCCGGTGCTGTACTCTACCTCTAAATCCTCTAATACTCGCCCCTGCACTCTGAACGCAAACTGCTCTTGTCACGGCTCTTACTCAACACACTGCCCTAAAGCCCGAGCTCTGAACACTCGACCCGGCCCTGAACCCTTTTTTCACCCGGGCTTGGGAAGTCGGCTGGGAAAAAGCCCTAAACCCCAGAACCCGAACAATAAATCCTAGTACAGGTGGAGGCTCGCTGAAGATCTGGCTATGAAGGCTTTTTTCTGACCAACAGTCTGGCTGGACCAACCTTGAGAACAAAGGCATGCTGCTTTGGGGGGGTCTAGAGACTTACGTCGTTCAGCGCATAGCAGCCGTAATGATCTAAAAGGTATGCACTAAACCCAAACCCCTACACCTCAAACCTTCACCCCCAAACCCTAAACCCTAAACCTCAAACAACCTTCACCCCAAAGCCTAAACCCTAAACCTCAAACAACCTTCACCCCAAAGCCTAAGCCCTAAACCTCAAACAACCTTCACCCCCAAACCCTAAATCAAAGATTAAACTCCAATGTTACCAAACCCTCAGACCCTGCTTTCAACCCTACAACCGAGGCTCCAGAGAGAAGGCGAGCGGAGAGTGGTTGCCACCATCCTCGCAAGCAGCGCGCTGGAGGAGGGCTCGGACGCACCACCTCTGGCGGATTTATGTCGGGGCGCGAGTGGTTGCCCTAAACCCCAAACGCTTAGTAGCAAGGTTTACTATCAACGAGCGCTACTCTGCTGCAGGCAGAGTAAGGCTTGAGGTTGAGCGTTCTGCACAAGTCGTATTCGCAGAGCAATAACAGTCTGGCTATAATTCATCAAGTCGAAATGGTATGCTGCTACACTTTGCCAGCAACCGCTACTATCACTGCACTTATTCTCCTCGGCCTACAAGCGCGCTCCGGGTTTAGATTTAGGATCCTTCTTGGCGGCTTATGGATGTGTGTGGGCGTTATGGCATAGGGTGCAGGGCTTTGGAGATTGATTTAAGGCTGAAGCGATTTGGATGCGAGGCAAACCTTGAAACTTTTTCCACAGGCTTGATTAGTGCTCGCCCGGCCAGAATCCCCAAGCACATCGCACTCGCACTCGTGGCAAACGCCGAACCCTAAACCCTAAATTCTAAACACCGATCAACAACAGCAGGCGGCAGGAAGCAGTAGAGTCCAAAGGCCAAGACCTGGGTAAACGGCCACGAGCCGACATGGAAGCGGCCTACTTTGGGCTTGAGGGGTTTGGGGTTTAGCACTTAGGGGGTTACGGGTTCAGGAGGTTTTGGGAGGTGTTGGGGCGTTCGGGGGTTTGGTGGTTCCTATGTTGGAAAACTGTTCTTGACACTACGCCTTCTCTTTGAGAGCCCTTCATCTACTTCGACTGCGGGGTTTCAAGTCTGTTCCCACGCCCTTTTTTCAACGCGGGCCTGCAAGCTCCCACACTGTCACCCCCCCTAAACCCTAAACCCGTAAAGTATAGGATTTAGCGTTTAGGGTTCAAGGCTTGCGGTTTAAGGTTTTTGCCCCCCGATGGCTCATAAAGCCCTTGGTAGACATGCCACCGGCGGCGCCCCGTAAGCACCGGGAGTTGCCAGAGCCAGAGACACCGGGGCCTCGCGGAGGAGGAGCGAGGCCTTGGTAACGGTGGAGTCTTGGAGGGCATGGAAGGTCTGCATTCACAGGATTCTTTTGGAAGGTGGCTCGTGGACTTGTAAAGGGTAGGGTCTAGGGTTCACGGTTAAAGGTTTAGGGGTTTCGGCGGGCACATACGGACATGCCACGCGAGGTTCACAGTTTCGGGTTTAGCACCCAGGGCGCTTTATATGCGATGGAAGCCCATGCCCCCAGACCCATAAACGACGGTAGCCGCGTCCCCCAATAGCTTAAAGAATCGTCCCTCACAGCCCTGGTCTGACCCGAATCCTACAGCCCTGCCTTTCAAAAACCCAAAAAAGGGAGCCGCAATCACGGGAATGAGGATTTTGTCGCATATTGTGCCTTAGAAACATGGATATGTATATATGTGTATATGTATGTCTGTATGTATACATATACATATACACATATATGATTATATGTGCGTATAGATATGTGATATGTATATATATATATATAGAAAGATAGATAGTCCTAAGTATAAACGCCTCTACATGATCTAATTGCGAAGTCCCATCGGCCAAAACCGCAAAGTGGACCCAGCCTGAACCCAAAACATTCATCGCAAAGCCCCACGCCCAGATCTGTAACTCAAAGCCTTACTACCAGTGGCTAACCCTTTGGAACCCGCAAAGACCGCTTGAAAGATCTTAGCACCCTACACCCAAAGCAAAAATGGCTGCTCACAGCAGAGCCCAAGAGCCGCCAGAAGAAGCCCGCCCACCACCAGCCAAACCTGGGGCACTGAGCTTCAGGCCAGGAAGCGGCTTCAAGGCATGGTATTCTTGTCTCCTACTTGGCATGAAACTCGCTTGGCACGGTCGATAGTCGGCTGATGCCCTGAGTTCCTGCTAGGACCGGGCTGTCTCATCGCCACTTTCGCTAATCAAGGGCGTTTGGGGATTGAGGCTGTTGGGTGGGTGTTAAAGGTTTTTTGGCAGCACAATCAAGCTGAACATTGGGGTTAGGGCACTCGGGTTCTAGGGTTAAGGTTAAGGGGTTATTTTCTAGGATGGTCTCAGGACAATCAAGGGGCTCATATCAGCGGCTTCAGGGTTTGAGGCTCCATTTACGGTCTCAGGGCTTGCGGTTTCGGTTTAATGGTTTAATGCTCACAATCTTCCAATTTCAAGTTTAGGGTTTAAGACTTAGAATGTAGGATTTCGACTCGCACACACCCGCACAAGGCAAGCATGGATTCAGGCCAGGCCCAACAACACCAGGCTTGCTACGATGACGTGTGAAAGCAGTGACCGAAAAGCAGGGGTTAGGTCTTGCGGTCACAACAACGCATGTAGACCTTTGCGGTTTGGCACGCGGGGCGCGCTGACTGATTTAAGTCAGGCTCTAGCTCCACCTACCAAAACTTACTGTTTTGTAGGGCCCCTGCAAAGTCTATATTCGGCTGCGAATTTTAAAGCATGGGCGGTAGAAGTGAAGAAGTGACGGGCCTGAGGGCTTGAATATTTCAGGCCATGGTAATGGAAAAACGGAAACACCATGAACCCTTGACCAAGAAGCAAAGCCACGGGCCTCGTGATTTTGATTATGATAGTTGAGGAGTTGTGGGTCGAGATATGCAAGATGAGAGGTGAGAATCTTGAAGAAGCCTTCTCGATTTCGCACGCCCATTCACGCGATCCGAACATAGCCGTGCCTCTGTGCTCAAGGTTGTCAAATGCTGGATTTCGAGTTACAATTAACTGACATTGCTATGACCTTTTTTGACACTGGGCTTGCTATGACCTGAAAGCTCAACATGATTATCATCGTTCGTCGCAGCAGCAGCAGCAGAAGCAGCAGAAGCAGCAGGAGCAGCCATAGCCATAGCCGCAGCCGCAGCCGTTGAGGTAGAGGTAGCAGTGGCAGTGGCAGTGGCAGTACTGTAGCAGGAGTAGTCGTGGGCGTAGCAGAGGTAGTCGTACTTCTCCTTGTAGAAGCCACTGTGTGCTCGTTATGTTAGCAATGGTCGCCGCACCCAGACTCCCCAAACCTTCAGCCATCTTTCCAAGAGAGCTGCGCTCGTCGATCCATGTGACAGGTTCTGCTCCGCTGCGACCTGGGGCAGCTTTCGGCTGCTTGCTTTGGGAAACTTGACGTTGGGGTTTCTATAGCCGTGTCTATGTACTTAACTTTGGGGCTTCTATAAACTTCATTTGCGGGTCTCTATATACTCAACGTTGGGGTTTGTATATACATTAACTTTGGGGTTTCTATGAACATAACTTCCTAGGGTTTCTATTCACAAAAACTTTGCCATTTGGGGCTTCCTTGTACTTCAGTTTCTGCGGTTTCTATAGATTTAAGTCCGGGGCTTCTATCTACTTGACTTTGGGATTTCTATAAGAGCCAAATCTTCTTTGCACTCAGGGCTTTGGAGCCTCTCCTGCTGCCGAAAGGCTGGCCCCCGAACGAGGTCCCACAAAGCCCGGTCGGGCTCCGGCTTCTGTTGCCACAGGGAGCCCACCGATGTGCTTGGCCTTGCGTCTGTGAGATTGTATGGTTGCCTAGAACGTAGGGAACCCAAGCCCTACATGCTACTACTGCTACTGCTGCTGCTGCTGCTACACTACTCCCGCCGCTGCTGCTGCTGCTCCTACTACTACTACGAGTACTACTACTTCTACTACTACTACTACCACCACTACTACTACTACTGCTGCTACTGCTACTGCTACTGCTGCTACTACTACTACTACTGCTACTATACTACGACTGCTACTACTGCCACTACTGCTACTACTGCTACTACTGCTACGACTCCTACTACTCCTACTACTACTACTACTACTACTACTGCCACCACCACCACCACCACCACCACCACCACCACCACGACCACGTACGCTCCAAAATACTACTTCGACTGCGACCACCACCGATCCTTGTTCTGACCTCCTCGTCATCCTCATCATTAAGGCCCTACCTTGGGACAGTGGAAAATCTCGCCTGACTTCCGGGAAATACCGCTGCCACAAGTCCAACTCAGATCCGACGGCCGCTGCGATCCTAGGATTGGGCTGGTTTGGAGGGTTTAGGGTTGAGCCTTTAGGAGTTAGGGTTTTGAAGCAGGCTCCGGCTTCATCAAAGGCTTAAAGGCGCGGTTTAGGTTCGCATCAGATGCGACAGAAGGCGTGTAATGATTAACGCAGGCTTGTCCGGCAGATCTCAGTGAATATTATCACACATCACTCACACCCCGACTGTCAGAGCATCGGTATTTTTTGGGAGTCAGTCTGGGGTTTTGGGACTCGGAATTAGGCAGACGGCGGTCCGACTCGGAAGTTAAGCGCGCAGGTTGCAAAGTTGAATCGCCGGGGCTGGGAGCATCGAGGTACTTTAGTGGATAGCCGCTGGGAGATGCTGCTCCCGTCTTCACAGTACCCAAGGAAGTCCATAATTCAGGGCAGCACCTTTCGAGTTTAAGGGTTCAGGCAGTAAGGCTCAGTGCCATCGGGCTTTCAACTTGCCAGCTGAGACCTGACAAGTTGGTGAGTCAGGTCCTCCTCTATGACTTTGCGCTCAATTTCATCCCATGATTTCCTATCTCGTTCCATTCGAGTCAGTTTCAGTCCGTTTCTCGGCACTTCCTTTCATGGTAACCCAGTGTCCTGCATTCCGCTCTGTTCTCTTTACGCACTTTCTTTCAACCCTTCGTTCAAAGCTTCACCACTCGTCCTTCAGAGTTACAGCTTTTAAAGGAAAAACTGTCATGTCGAGTTACACCCAACATACTCGGCGTTCCAGAAGTGAGGGCGATGCTGCTCACACCCGACAAAACTGAATCAGAAGACATGGCGCGCAAAACCTTCGCTGTGCGTCAATGCATTACCTTTTTCTCGACATCACCCAACACCGAAACAACCACCATAATCAACACCAGCCTTATCCTCCGTCCTCCTCCTGACTATCCTGTGATCACTTTCGGTCATCCTCAAAAAAAAAAAAAAAACCCTAGCCGGTGAACCCGAATCCTCCTTAAGGATACTTATGTTCATCATCACTTCCTCCACCTTACTAGTGTTACCCTCAAGATCCTTCTGGCATCCATGTCCTTAGTGCGGTGAAGCGCAGTATTCCCGCTGCTGTTGGAGGAGGTGCAGGCGATGATGAGATGATGACGATGCAAGCTACTATAGATAGAAGTAATTCTAACTTCTAACTCTCAAATCAATGGAGGTCCCATATATTCGCCGCTAGCTGCAACCGTAAACCACCCCCTTTTCAGCATGGGCTTGGATTGCACGCCCCCTAAACCCTAAACCCTCACGGCCCAAAACCCCAAAAAACACTACAAATCGGTGCCAGCTGCTTCTCCCAACTGGCTGTCTCCACCAGCTTTTGCGTACCTGCCAGCTGGGAAATCCATGGTCCTATAGTACCCTTGCGGGACCTTATCAATGGCTTCGGCGCTCGCACTCGGACTTTCCAGGTGAAGCATGCGTCCACAGGTTCGGGCGAGTTTTCGGGCTTGGACTACGGGGGTTAAGTGAACGGTTAAGCTGCTTCTCGTAACATTCTAGAGGTTAACGTGCTTCTTGTACCAATGCAGCCCAATCCAGTTGGAAGTTGTAGGGACCTTATCAACACATGATTTTGGGGCGCAGACCTGGATCTTCCATGTAGAGTTTCCGGTGACGTAGACCACTGACTACCAGACAGACTTGTTAGGCCCCCACTATTCGGACTCCTACTATCCACATAATGGGGCGGGGACTGATTCTACTAGGGATCTACATTATGTGGCTTTAGACTCCCGATCTGGGGCCTGGGATAGCCTCCTGGGATGTCCTACTACTCTGCCGCAAAACATTCTAATTAGTGAGCTTCTTGTATTTCCTACCGGTCGACTTCTTCGGTGCCGAACAGATAGAAATCCTACTCAAAAGCCCGCGGCATTGGCGGAGTGTTGGCTTTTTTGCGCCTGCCGGTGTGCACGCAAGGCGATGTCGAAGCAGCGCTTGTCCGGGGCCAGTTGCTGGGCCGCCATGTGCTCCAGCAGGCTCAGAGCGATTTGCCAGTTGCTGCCCTGGGCGCAGGCCTGCAGAGCCCCGGTGAAACTCCGCAGCGAACTGGCACCCGAACTGGCGGCCACCTCGCGGAGGGGACCCTGAAGAAACTCCTGGTGAAACAAGAGCAAGGCCTGCATCCACCGACTGCAGTGGGCCAAAGCGGAGATGGCAGCCCCGACACCTTCGGGAGTTAGGTCACTCAATGGCCGAAGGCTTTCAAGCACCGCAAGAGCTTCCTGCCACTGCCCGGCCCGTCGACATGCATCGATCGCGGCTGCGAAGGCGGCCGCATCTGACTTCCCGGTGTTGCAGAGCAGCGCAACGGCATGTTGCCACTGCTTCCCCTTTCCGCATGCTGCGATGGCCGCGCTGGCGACGTGGCCGTCGTCCCCCAAGCCCACCGACCTGGCCTCACGCCAGACTCTCAATGCCAGCTCCCAAACGCTGCCTTCGCCGCAAGCGGACAGGACCATGGAGTAGGTCAGGCCATCTCGCTTTGTCTCAGTGTGCTCAGACATGGCAAGCCAAATTGCCAAATCCCACTGTGATGCACTACGGCAAGTTTTCACGGCTGCATTGAGTCCCTTTGTCCCTGAAAGGAAGTTGCCTTCGGAGAGCATGGAGAGGCCGCGCTCCCACAGTTTGCGCCGAGAGAGAGCTGCTGCACAAATCGCAGCTTCCTCGGCATCTTGCAATGGCCCCTGTCGGAGCAAGTTCGCGATTGCTTCCACAACTGCTGCACGTCTCTTTGACCTGTCCCGCACATCTGCCAGCAGGGTTGCTCTGCTCGTGATGCGGCGTGCCCGCACCTGGGGCCGGGCGCCGAAAATGTGGCCGAGGTTCCTATGGCATCGCATACCGGAACGGTGAGCTTTTGAAGGCTCACTAATCCCTCTACAAACCCTCTAGCCTTTGACATTCCCTCTCACATGTTCCGAAACAAACGACATAACCTTTTGTAATGCTCTTTCATATGTTGAGCCACACAGGCGTCATCCTAGTCGGAGTCACCTGAGCTGCGCCCAAGCTGAGCGATTTCCTGGGCTTTCAACATCAGCACACCTGCATTGTGCCAAACTCGTGCGGTCAGCCGAAGTCGCTAGATGCCGTAAAGCCTGAAAGAGAGCCCATGCGATCAAAAGAAGCCTGCTCCGGCATTCTAAGCCCCGTCTCAGTTCTTGGGAGCTTTCTGAGTTCTGGGCAACCTGACACCACCGGCCACAAAAAGAAGCAGCAGATCCTCGTCCTACTCCTACAATCAAAACCTCCACTACGCGCAGAGAGACGTACCTGCGTAAACCTGCCAAGAATCCATCAACTGATCAACTCCTCGGAACTCCGTCGCGGCAAACACAAACCCAACAGCCTCAAAGCCCGACAGCAACAGAAAGAGAAAGACTCCCCCTAATGTTCTTGTCCCCTCCTCCCACCGACTAAAAAAGAAAGGGCAAGACGTTAATGTCTCAAGCTCAAAACCACCAAACCCACCAAAAGCCCTAAGCCCCCTGTAAACACAAGGAACTTCTTTAATTAAAGCCTCGCGTAATCCCGATCACCCTAGACCGTCAACCCGAAATCTCAAGCCCAGCCTGAAAGATCATCTAAATCCCTGTAAAGCCCATCAAGCCCTGCACTCCCTAAACCCCTCATCTAACCCCTCATAAAAGGGTTTAGGGCTTATGGGTTTAGGGGTTTAGGGTTTGAGGGTTCAGGGTGTGGGATTTTAGGACTTTACGCTCTCGCAACTCGGACAAGCCAAACCGATGGTTTAGGGTTTCCCTGCCTGAGACTTGGCTTTTCGAAGGGAGGCTGGGTTGCTTCTCGCGGACACGCTCGGCGAGCGCCGCGTGGCTCGGCCTCTGCGACCCCAATCATCTACTCTGAAGTCTTTAGGGTGAACTAGTGTAAAATTGAGGAAGCCTACTGAACAATGTTGGTCATTATTGGAGCTCCTGCATTGATGGGAAACAAATCAAAGCCCGTAAGATTCTTACTTTAGCAACAGGACCCCCGATTTAAGGGTTCTCCATCTTCAAGCACACCCCACCTCTGCGGATTTCTTCGTGTTGGGCTGTTGGGCTTCATTGGAACTTATGCGACTTATGGGGTTTAGGTTTGGGTACACCCCAACCCTTGAAGCGTACACCCCAAAGCCGAGAGTTCAAACCGAAATCCTAAATCCTAAATTTGTTCAACCCTGCGGGCCCTGGGACTTGAGGCACCGGCTAGGGCCTAGGGCCAGAGTACTTCAAAAAGGCCCTCACAACCCTGAGGTCCAAAACCCGAAGTCGACAGGCGAACAAAGCCAAGAATGCCAAGAAAAGCTTCGCACCCCGGTTCTAAACCCTAAACCCTAAACCAAACCCTGAAGCCTAAAACTAAAACCCCGAACCCTAAGCCCTAAACCTTCTTTCTGAAACTCAGATTCTGGAGAAGCTGATGTGTGTGTGTGTGTGTGTGTGTGCTTTATGGTTGTGGGTTAAGGGTTTAAGCTTTTTCGCCTCCTGCCTAAGAAGGACAAGCCCGCATTGCAGGTTTAGGCGGAAACCCCAAACCCTACACCCCAAAGTCCTTAACCCGATAGTTCCACGTCCTAAACCCTTGTTTGGTTCCCAGGCTCTGTGCTATCAGCTGGCCCTAAACCCTAAACCCCCAGACCTTACGCCTCGAAGGAAGCCTGAACACCAAACCCTGCCCCGAACTCGGAAGCCAGGCCTCTCAAGCCCCAAACATCGCTAAACCCATAAGCCCTAAACATCCCTAAACCCATAAGCCCTGAGCCCAAATCCATCCCAAGACACATCGGAACCAGGGCATCGCTGAATTCATACCAGGTCGGGCCGTACTCCACCGCGAGGTAGCGGTCTACATCCGCCGGTATCCAGAAGGTGTCGTTGAGCCAAACCCTAGGGTTTGCAAAACTTCAGATTTACATGAGCTTGGGGTCAGGTTGAAGGTTGAAGGGTTAGAGTTGAGGCAGCTGGTTTAGGATTTCGAACATTTTGAGGTCGCCGTTTCTGACGGACTGGTGCCTGCACACAGCTTGCAGCGAAGCCGTTCTTGAAGAGTCTCCGGCCACACGCCCAAAGCAAACAATTGCAGAATGGAGCGCCAACCCTAACATCTTAACCCCGGATTCTAGCGTTTGGGGGTTCACGTTTCTTTGACACTCACACCCGGACAAAGCCTGGCAAGGTCTGCAGCGATACTGGTCTCAGATGTTTACGCTCTCGCAACTCGGACACGGCCAGACGAGGTTCTTGGTGCGCTAGGGTTTACATTGTCTGGGGCTTTAGGGTTTAGTGCACAACAGCTAGACTTGAAGTGCCATCGACCAGGATGGCTTGGCCTTACCTTTCAGTCACCCGTCTTTGCGCAACGTCACAGAAACCCGACAACAGACCTCAAGCCGTCTTCGCCTGAAATCCGCTCCCGAAAGATCCCCCTCCAACTTTCAAACCTTGTCCAAAACTGCGGGAACCTTCTAGGAGCCCTTGTAGGATAGGATAGGAACCTCTAGGGAAAAGTTTATAGCAACCCTTACAGGGAACAGTGCGACCGAGCATCGCAAGTCTGAAGGCCCGGATGGGCACAGGACCTCGGAAAAACAAAAAACAAACTACGAAGCCCTAAAGCACAAGTTCTTAACCAAAGCACTCCTTGCTGTGGCCCTGGACTCTAGTCTGGCCAGGGTTGACAGCTCAAGCCGAAATCCAAACCATGGGCTGGAACCCCACGGAGCCCCGGAGCACTCGGAACTCACACCCACCGAGCCCGTAGCCCAACAACAACGGAACCTGAAGCCAAGAAAGCACAAAACCTTAAGAACTCCATGCACTATTCCCTTTTAGAGCATCCCGACTTTTGAAATCAATTCCATTTCTCGTTTCGTCGCTGAAGCACCCTAAATCGCCCCGCGCATGGTATCTGGCTAGTGCCAAAACAGCATGAGACGACTGCCTCAACTTAACTACTCTGAACTCCAGACTCGCAGTGCTGAATCCCAGCACGCGCAACCTTAAATCCAAACCCCTACTAAGTGTCTCTTCAAGAACCCTTGGACAAGCCTCCTGTTATAAGCATGCTAAGCAAATCCTGAAACCTGGTGACGGCTTGCAGGTAGGACACGGCTAGCCTTCGCGTTCCCCGGCACCTTCCGGGAAAGAGCCGCTGACTCTGGAAGCAGGGCTTGGGTTTAGGGTTTACGAGTTTTTTGTCCATGTTTGCCATCCACACGACGATGTCGCACTGTAGGGGACTCGTCTGAACTCAAGACTGATTAGGGTTTAGGTAGGGTTTAAGCTTTGAACATTACAGTCTGGCTCCGGCCTCCAAGGCCAGCGGGCACAGTCGGCAGCCCGTGCCGCAGCTCGAGACATCACAGCGGTCCTGGGCTTTACACAAGCTGAAAGAAAGAATCGTATGTAGGAAAGGGCTTGTGGAAGTTTCATTCAGCTTCTTGCTGCTGGTGTTGGAGTTTTGTGCTACAAATGTCCCATGTCTCATGAAAGTGCATTGCTTCCTTTGTTCTGCTTTCAGAAAGATCCCCCGTAGCAAAACGAGCAAGCCACCCCCGAGACCGAAACCTTGAACCCAAAAATTCAAAGATCAATTAAACCTAAACCTGAAACACAAATGCTGGACCTACCCTAAAACCTCAACACCTGGACCACCAACCGACCCCATCCCTCAGGCGGCCTTGAGGGTCAGAAATCGAAACAGTAGCAAATCCACCGGCACCCAGCTCTTGTCAATGTGCAGCCGGGCTCGGAGCCTCAATGCAGTAAGGGCTCTCATGCGGTTGAAGGGTTTAGGGATGTTCAGGGTTAAGGGTCGAGTAGGGATTGAAAGGGGCTGTCAGGGTGAAGGTCTACAGTACTAGAGCCACTAAAGGTGTCCAACCATGCAACCTCCGACTTCCAATTCTAGGCTCGGAGACCCCAACTACAAGACCATTACAACAGCTTCTGAGGCCTTGTGGCCCGTGGTTGATCGAAAGCGTTTACAAAAGCCTTCAGGGTGAGGGGCTTGCAGTTTGGCTCCGTCGGGCCATGCGGGCAATCTTCATCCAACTGATGGCCCTTCGCTCGCAAAACCTGTGCCAAGGCTTTCTTGTAAAGGGAAGTAGCTTTTGTGCTCGCGTATGTCAGCACTCCCAAAACTACACGGTGGCACAGGGCCGAATGTACAGGTTTGGGACTGAGGGTTCAGAATTTGAGGCTTCAGGTCCAGATTCAAAGTATGGCTGTTTCCGTCAACCATATCCTGGCGCAGCCTACGGAAAGCTTGAAAACCGGCTCAGGAGTTGCTGTTGGGTTTGGTTTGTGATATTCGGGGCAAGTATCGGAGATTTTGACCCGTGAAGCTTTCGGGTTGATTTCTGCGTTCGGGCTTGAACCACCCTTAACCCTGAACCCCAAGCTCCGAAGGTTATAGACCTTAATTAGACCTTGAGGTCTAGGTCTAGGGTCGAGGATGAAAAATTCAAGAACAATCGTAGACCCCTATAACCCAACATCCCATCTCCCTAGACCCTGAAGAAACTTCAAACCCCAAATGTCTTAAGCCGTGACCGGACCCCCAACATGTGAATCCCAACTACTTTTGCTATTGTTCTTCTTATTGCTAATTTTATGGCTGTATTCCATCAATCAAAACCCTACAATGAAAAACTCTCCTTGTGTTGTTGCTGCCCGCCTTCTTGACCGTCGACAAGCCAAGGTCTGCCAACCAGGGGCCGAAAGTCGCCACGGTGGCTCCGGACTTCCCCGGCACAGCAAAGCAGCTCCGCCTCCGTTTGTGAGGAACTGCGGCACATTATAAAGTTTGCGACAGGGTTGGCCTTCTAAAGGTGTGAGCAAGCCGCAGACAAGTTTTGTAGACATGTCTAAGAAAAGAGCTTCGAAATCCTATGTTCGCAGGCCCGCCTCCAACCAAGAAGTACGTCACGCACCTTGTATGGCCGTGTGAAAAATATGCGATCCAAATACGGTACCCGCAATGCTAAACCCGAAGTTCAGCTAAACTAAGCACCACACCAGAACAAGCGGAACATCCACGAACAAGAACATTTTTTTCAGCTCCTTCACGGCTTGCATGACCTTGGCAACCAAATGCTGACAGCACCCAGGCATCCACGCCGAATCCACGCAGCATAAAAATCTTGCACGTTCCGCGCCTGTACCTGCATTTCCGTGGATGGTACCGAGTGGACGAACGGATGGGTTTGCCAATATGCATCGGCCTGAACAAGCTGATGGAGCCAAGAACTGCTTGGCATAGTGATGCACTGACACTATCCGCCCGACCTCCTCCACATTGCACATTGCACCGGTTTGACGAAACTCCAGATTGTGCACTGCCAGCTCCAAATCATTGGAAGGCATACCTCTCACCAGCACACCCAAAAGTTCCTTACAGTAGCCCCATGTAAGATGCCCACAAGAAAACACATGCTGGGCCTCGACGCATCATGCGCATGTGCCTCATCACCGACGGGTGCAGCTCGTCCTGCCGGCCCATCGAGGGACAGTTGTACCAGTACTGGCATTGCGGGAGTTGTTGTGTCGATGGGTGTGAAACGAGTTTAGTGACGAAGGAAGACATGCTTTCGTTACAACATGAATAATAAATATTGGTTGCATCGTTATTTTTGCTTTTCGCTGTTTAGTCCCGTGTTAGGCAAACGTGCACCCGGACCGGCATTCATGGGATGGGTGAGGCACATGCACAGCGCACACTTCCGGTCGACACGGGGAAGCGGCCGGTCGTGACCCTCAGGCTCGGTGCCTTCACAGGCCGCGGTTGATGGAGGCAGCAAGCGCGACTGGCTATGTTAGGTTGTTTCACTGGCATCGCTCGATTCGGCAGTTGTAATGAGTCATGCCATTGGCGCAATCGGAAAATGCGTGGCAAACATACCAGCCAGAGCTGTGGCCGGAATGCGCCCGTCACCCGGGCGCACGCGGATGTTAGGTCACCCGAGAAAACGCCCAACCACGGCAGGCATCGGCAGGCCAAAGCCTGCCATGCCACAGCATGCCACGGCCATGCACGGCTCCAACCCAGTCATTTCTCGCTCGTTCGAGCTGTCGGCAAGCAAAAATAGAAAATGTTCACACTCCTGCCTTTTCTTTTCGCCGCAGCCGCCACCACACGATTGCATTTCGTCTTTGCTGGACCACTGTGCAGGAAAGGCTGCCACGTATTTTTGTTCCACTTACTTCTTTCTTTAGCATGTGCCTCGAGTGCCCGCTCCACGCTTCGGCACAGCCTCCTACCCATTACCTCCCTCAACTCTCCCTCACCCTCCCTCCGGGCCGAGTTGCGGCAGGCGGTTCGGCCATGCTACATTAGGTCGAACTCAAGGGCGGACTGTCCGCTCACATGGGGGAGCGCCAGCCAAGCCGACCCCAGGGCTTGGCTGGCTGTCTTGGTGGCTGTTTCTGGCCCACTTTTGTCCCACACCAATTGTACTCCCGGGTTTTGGTGGCTCTTCCTGGCTCATTCCTATCCATGTGTTTTGCTCTTCACTCTTATCCGTAACTTGGCTTTGGCTCGCGCAGGCCAGGCAAACCCCCAAGCCGTGCTGGCTCGTCCTGTTGCGCGTTGTTCCGCATCTTGTGCAGCCACTGGGCATCCAGCGTGCCAACATTCAAGTTCACACTGACGACAATAAGATCAGTGTTGAACCCAAATATTTGCTGTTTTTGTGTTGTCCAAAAAAACATCCGCCTGCACAGTAGCTGTCGCTCTATGCTGCCAGGGCCAGGCATACTACCCGCAGCTACGGCTACGCAGGGGAAGCTGTGTCACCAAATGCTGTGAGCGCACCAAGCACTCGCTCGAGGGGCGCCTCATCCTTCTGATCCGGGTCCTGCCCCAGAGCCGTGCTGGCGACGGTCTGTTGCAAGGCTACAGCCGGCATGCCCCACCAACGGAGCGACCAGCAGGCGGCGGCCGCACAGCGGAGACCTTGCGACCGGACGCGGAGTAGGTGCTGCACGAAGCGGCCGGTCCTCCGCTGCAAAGCTCTGGGTATGTAGACCGTTTGCAGGGCTCGGCTATCCTGAGCACAGCCCCATCCGTTTGAGCTACGTCCACATCGATTCGAAATGAAGCCGTTTGATCGAGCATTGCGTTTTCGAGATGGAGAATTGCTATACCGTCAAGCACCACGGCTACAGCGAAGGAGCTCCGCTAACATATAGCCCTACCGAACACCAAGCGGCCAGCCGCACGGCTGGTGAATTGCGCCGGGTGGAGGACCATGCCGGTGTTGGGGTATCCGGCTGCTAGAAGGTTGGCGAGTAGACAGAAACGCAGCGATAGCGTGCTTTGCACCGACAGCAAGCAGCCCGGAGGCCGGTCTGTTCCAGAGGCTGCCCCCAAGCTCCGAGCGTTTCAGACGTGCAGTTTGTCCAGAACGGATGCTGTACCAAATGACAGACGCCTAATTTAAAAAACAACACACGCTAGGGGGGGTATAGCTGGGGGAGGGGGGGGCCCCCCCTGGTTACATTTCTGGCTGCTGTTACGTGTCCGAAACCCCCCCCTAAAGTTACATTTCCAATGCTCTGTATACAGGCTCCTGGTTCGGGACACGTCTGGCCGACCCCCCCTCAAGTTACATTTCGAACCCCCCCCAAGTTACATTATCATTGGGTGCTGCATGGGTGCTGTACACCATGTATTAGGAGGGCTAGGGATGGATTCACGGAGAACAGCTGCTGGAACAGGCCTAGGGCCCAAAGCGCCCTTTTTGCTTCCACCCCTCGAGAAGTCCTTGCGTCTCCCCATGTGCCACGTTCAGGCACGCTCTTCGCAACGAGGCCCGCGGACACAGCTGAAGTGGCTAAAGTTCGAAAGTGTGCACACGCTTTGAAACACAGCTGGGCCTGTTGCTACCCCAGTGCCTCATTGCCAAACTCCTGCCAAACTCTGTTGCGGATACGGGTTTATGAATGCCATAAGCACAGCCAGAGCACAGCGTACCCAGGTACTCAGTTTGGCAATGGACACGAACGGAGGGGCGGTGGCATTGCCAGCGCCACCTCCGTAAAAAACTTGGCCACTCGACTTGCCTTCCCCGGCAAACTGACCAACTGCTGGAACCTGTGAAACACCCATTTGGAAAAGCTCAGCACTCCATCTGCCGCATTCGCCTTAGCCGCACGTGTGTACGTGAGGTGCTCCTTGTCGAAGAACCCGGCCACCAGCAGGCGAAGCCCTGCCCACTCCGGCTTCCCATCGATCAGTAGGGCGCCCTGATCGTCCAAAAGCCGGCGCCCAGTGGCCGCCTCGTGGTACTTCAGGAGCTCGTCGGCGAACGTGGCGATGTTGTTTCGGCCATGGCTGTTCTGCAGGAAGTGCTCGGCCGTCCAGTAGATCACGCTGCCTTTCTTTCCGGACACCGTGGGCTCGGAGATTCAGGAGCGTCTCGACCACTGCGGCAAGCACAGCCACATGGAGCCTCGCCAAGTTTTCGCAAAACGAGCGGTGGAAATAATTACTCTTAGACCTTAGACTGATTACACAGGCACAGGAGACAAGTAGAAAATTGCAGATGTGCCGCCCATGCCTGACACGCGTCTCGCGGAATGCCACCATGGACTCGCTGATCTCGCCCAGCACGGTTCCCTGCTCGGACATGGGGTCCAAGACGACCACTGGGCTGCAGCAGGATGCATGGAAGCTGGTGGACGCATTCTCCATCGGGCCATCGAGAGACAGGAGGCAGACATGGATCTTGGAAGTGTATTCACATTCCAAGGGTGCCCCGACGATGTTGCAGACGCTGCTGGAGGCGCCCTTTTTGCGCGGGTACAAAGCACCGCGGTACACACTGAGGACAATGCCAAGTTTCGGTTTGTCCGCCGTGTTGATGCGCACCGCCAGAACTTGGTACTGACGGCACCCGTCTTTCATCGCGCAGGCTGGCCTGAATGTGACGGCCGGTGTGAGGACTCCGTGGTCGGCCGCAGCAGGATTTGCCACCCTCAGAACGAGCCAGGGATGCTGACAGTCGTGAGTGCGTGATCCCCGGGTGTCTGCTCTGGAAAATCTCCACACACTGTAAACCCTGCCTACTGGAACTCCCCGGAACGGCAATTGGCTGGGTCTACAGTCGGGCGGGAAGCTAGACACAGCTCAGCTGAAAACAAAATTTCCCGTCCAGCAGCCGCTGGCAAAGCTGAAGAACATGTCTGAAGTTAAATTAATGTGCAAAAGAAACTCTTCACGCACTGCCGCTGAAAACTGGACCATAACTGTGCACGCGACTGTCGGGCCTCGCTGCACACGTAAGCACGCTGGCTGACGGATAGCTCATGTTCGAGCTTTTGTTGCTCGTTGAGTCGTCCGCAGCCATAAATTTGACCTCGGCTGAGGATGCCCCAGACGGTCCAGCATATGGTTGTCTGTCTCGCCGGGCTGGCCGATGTCTGCTTTCGACAGCCCTGCTTGGGCGAGGATCTCAGGAAGTGTCTTCGGAGGTCCTTTGGCCTTCTTGTGTCTGGGCGACTCGGTGGCCGTCGGCTTCTCAGTGATCCCTGCATTCTCTGCGGCAGCGGGAGCAGCGGTGCTCTTCAGGACTTCAGCAATCTCTGCCTGCAGGCGATTCTGGACTTGAGCATTGCCCAGCAGCCTTTCGGCCTCCTCATCATCCACGCACGTCGCAGCACCAGGCTGGGCAGCTTCGGCATCGCTCAAGTCCTCGTCTTCATCTGGGTCGGCGCCGAGGAGAAGCTGGTTGTAATCGTTCGGAAACAGCAGTCTTTCACCGTCCGCTCTGTACCACTCCCGCAGCTGTTCTGCGACTGTGAAAGCAGTCGTGGCTGTGTGCAAGGCGCTGAGGAACTGGCGGGTTGAAGGGTTGTGCCACGTCGAAGATTTCAGCGTCTGCGAGCAAGGATGTCGTTCGGTACGGTAATCAAAAAGCTTTCTACTGTATTGTTGGATAAAAATACACTGCCGACCCTGCAATTGGACAGCCCAAAAAGTTTAGGTCACTAGGGTATACAGTATGAACCTAGTGCCAGCAGTGGCTGCGTGATCCCCCCGTGCTCCGGGGGTGCACACAACAAGGAGCCCAGAAAGAGCAACAACTTCAGCTCCAAACCGACACACCCGAGCTCTACACAGCAGGTCCTAAGCCCGCTTAAACCCCTAGCCGAACCGGCCTGACTTCGCGTTCAGGATTGGGGACTGGCAGGTTGAGGGTTCGGGTTTAAGCCTTAGGAGCTGGAGGCCAGTCCAGGAGGAGGCATAGGTGGACTGTAGACCCTGCAGTAGCCATGCTTCGGGAATCCGGAATTATACCTAGGTCAACACTGCCAGCCGCAACTTAGCGTTCCCATGGTGCTCTAACGGCTAGGGAGTATCGCTCTGCTCATCGTCCACTGCGTCGGGGTTCTGACGCAAGTAACGGGAATGTCCATGAATGAGGTATACGAGGATCTTGGAACACTCGCATAAGAAAAACTCAAACATGTCCACGTCCTGCATCTCCAGCTGGAAGGCTTCAAGCCACCGCACCTCATCGTCATGCTCCGCTTCGCGGACTCGCTTCTTGAAGTCTGCGAGAAACTTCTTGTGCGCCTGCAGCAGAAGGTGGCTGTAGGAGTCGCAGGCCTCTTGGGAAGAAGAGGTCAAGGAAAACTGATGTGCGAGGCCATTCAGCAGGTTTAAGACTTTCCTGGCACCGGGACCAGTCTCGGCAAAACTTCCGTTGCTAGGGCATGCCTTGGCACGGGAGTGCATGATGCGAAACTGGTTCCGAGCCAGGAAAGGTCCTGAGCCCTTCTGGTCGCGGAACTGCCGCATGACTTCTCGCTTCCGCAGCCACAGGTTCTGGTCGGTTTTCAAGCGGATCCTCGGGGGCATTAGGTTGAGCTGAAATCTGTCCCTCAGCGTGGCGGGGGACAAAAACTCGTCTTTGGTTAACCGTCGAAGAAAGGCTCGCTGACAGGACTGTGGCCGGAAGGATGTGGACAGCATGTCTTCGGGCCGGTCCATCAAGCCCCAGCACCACTCCAGGATCTGGCGCACGGAGCCTCCTCGGAGACGTCCTCCGGCATTTACTATGCGTTGCGCGAGCTCTCGGCCCGAGAACCTGCTCAGGACGTAGCTCCAAAGCGGCTTGTTGAGCTTCGTGGAGTGGGACATGATTTCAGCGTGCAAGCGGCTCGTGATGTCTGTTGGCTCCCAGCTTAAGCGCAGGCGCTCCGCCAACTCGCCGACGTTAAGACGGCTGCGTGCTGCAGCTTGGACGACTTGGGTGTCTGTGGCGACACCAAATTCCACGCTCACAGGCTTCGTCGCCAGTCGGAGCACAAAGCTTCTCTGTAGCCCAATGCCGTCATGCATGTCGCTGGCCCTTCTCACCAGCATCACATCGGTCAGACTACCCAGGAAGCTGTCACGGTTCAGGACGGTCCAAGATTCCACATCTTCAACTCGTCGGACCTTCATGTGCTCTGGCTCGTCCCCTAAGCCCTATGAACCCTAAAGCCAAACCCTGAGCCCCGGCAACATTATAAGCCCTAAACCTAGCTGAAAGCGGCTGAAGACGAAGCACCCGGCAACACAAACCTCCTGGTTTCAAAACCGTTCTGCTCTGCTTGGACAAGCTAGGGCGCACGTGCAATCACGGATAAAGCATTTGACACGACTCCACAACATTCGCGCTTGTTGAACCAAAATGCTACCAACCTAAGCCCGGAAGATACAATCCCGTGCCTAAAGAGTAAACAGAGTAAACGCCAACGCCAGGCCCTTTAGACAAAGAGCCCCACGCACACACACACACACACACACAGACACACGCACACACACACACACACAAACAGACACACACACACACACCCACACACACACCCACACACGCACACACACGCACACACACGCACACACACCGAACTCAGCGAAACCCGAAACCACAACCGGAACCCTCGAGGCAGAAGATCTCCAGGGTCCAGGCATTAACTCGCCAGGAACACCCGAAAAAAAGCGCGAGGCTGAGAGTAAGAAGCCTGGGACGTTTCGGGGTCGCAGGCGAGTCTGCGAGCAAGGATGTCGTTCGGTACGTTATCAGAAAGCTCTCTACTGTCTTGTTGGATAAAGATACACTGCCGACCCTGCAATTGGACAGCCCAAAGCACTAGGGTATACAGTATGAACCTAGTGCCAGCAGTGGCTGCGTGATCCCCCCCGTGCTCCGGGGGTGCACACAACAATGAGCCCAGAAAGAGCAACAACTTCAGCTCCAAACCGACACACCCGAGCCCTACACAGCAGGTCCTAAGCCCACTTAAGTCGGCTCGCAAACTCCAAAGACTGCCTCCTTGACAACATCCCTGCCGTCAAACCCTTTACCCAACAAGCCAGCGTCTCGAATCTCCATGTCGCCACGTGGCGGCACCGCGGAGACAGGCGGAGCCGGCTCCTTTTCGAGAGTTTGGCAGTGTAGCACCGAGTTTCATGAGTCTAGGGGTTTGGGGTCCAAACAATTATGGGGTTTGGGGTTCTGCCTGCTTGTTTTCTGAAGGTTGTAGGGTTGTGCCAGGTCGAGGATTTCGGCGTCTGCGAGCAAGGATGTCGTTCGGTACGGTAATCAGAAAGCTCTCTACTGTCTTGTTGGATAAAAATACACTGCCGACCCTGCAATTGGACAGCCCAAAGAGTTTAGGTCACTAGGGTATACAGTATGAACCTAGTGCCAGCAGTGGCTGCGTGATCCCCCCCGTGCTCCGGGGGTGCACACAACAAGGAGCCCAGAAAGAGCAACAACTTCAGCTCCAAACCGACCCAAGCAAAGCAACAACCTCAACCCCACATCCAGCCCACATTGACAAACCTCCACACCACGTCCGAAATGCTGCTGCCCTGACGCCTGGCCGGGCTTGCTCCATCATCTGCAGCAGACGACACTTGCCGCAGCTATCAGGTAAGCGGCATGGGGCCAGCTGCTGCTACAATCGCTTAACTCGTGATGTTTCTTGTCCCATGCTTGCAATGGGCACAGACGCAGTGTGCTTCTAGACAATCTTGATTTCACGGCTGCTGGCACCACTCATCGTTGCAACAAATCGAGCTGCAGATTCCACGGAGGCTGCAACACAGGCAGGCAGACCCTGATGAGCGCCCATGCCGAGGAGGTCCGTGGATATCGAGATATCCACGTCCAGCCGTACGGCCGCCCGAGCGTCGAACTCACACATTCAGTCCACGTACCGGCGGCCGCAAGATCCACATAAGCTCCCGGCGACACCGCTTCATGGTGAGACGCCCGGCCCTCGCCAAACAGACGGCTGCACCTGCCCGAAGCGAAAAGCACAACAAGACTCAAGATGCACGACGGCCACACCCAGGTCCTCACTCGGAAGAGCTTCTTCTTCGAGTCGAAGGTCTGCTTGCCATGCGGCGGACATGACAAGGCGCCCCGAGCTCGCGAAGCCAGCAGCCCTGGAAGCCGAGCTTAGAAAGTCGCTTCGATGCGCCGACAACCTGCACCTCTCTGGATCAGGCAAGTTGCGCATGGAGCCGGAGGATGCTCGGGCTGCTCGGGGCGAGGCTCAGAAGCATCCGCCATGACGCATGAACTTCCAAAAAAGGGTTTCTGCTCAGTGTGTCGCCGATCTCTGTACTTCACAGCTATGCTCAGGTTCTGCTCCGAAAATGCTTCCAACTGCCTGCGAAGCTATGCCAGCACAGCCGAATCCCTGCAACATCGAGCCCTGGAGAGCGGAAGCGGGATCGCAACAAGGCGTCACATTTGTGATAAAAAATCATAAGCCCGGCAACCCGGAAATGTAACTCGAGGGGGGGTCTGGGACTCGAGGCTGAGGTTCCTACGTTCAACCATGCACCGCCTGAAAATGTAACCGAACGGGGGGTACCCTCTTACGTATCCGGGCCGTCCTCTACGTATCGGCGAACCCCCCCCTCGAGTTACATTAACAAGGGGCCCCCTAGAACACATGGATCAAGTATGAGTGGAACGAATGAACTGCAAGCCGACGGTTTTCCGCCCAAGTGTGGAACTGATGAAACCCACGGTTGCTATTAGCCGGGAAACGCACACCGTGCTTGTTCTATTTCTGAATAAGACATCCAAGTGACAGCTTCCCGAGCACTACAGGCATAGGAACAGGGGAAGCATGAAATTAAGCATGAAATTGAAGTTATGCGTCTTAAACAGCATCCTCTTCAGGCCTGCCCCAACACAGAATCCCCAAGAGGCTCCCCAAAACCTTCTTTAACGTGCGCTGAAATTCCAAAAGGTCTGCCACAACAACTACATCGTCAGCATACAGAAACAGCATAACTTGTGGGCTGCAGCCGGGCAAAGCGCCTTTGTGAATATGCGAT